TATAATGTGTCATAGCATTGGTCTGTCCTCATTGGGAGGGGTCCTCTCTGCCTCTTTGACATGAATGCTTGTTTCCTTTCCCAAATTAGGGAAATTCTCAGCTACAGTTTGCTCAAATATATTTTCTAGACCCCCCTCTCTGTCTCCACCCCTCAGGGATCCCAGTAATTCTAATATTGAAATGTTTCACTGAGTCACTAATCTCTCAGTTTGATCCCTTGTATTTTTGTTTTTCCCATGCCACCTCAGTTTCCTTCTTTTCTATCTTCTCATTCTCTAGCTCACTAATTCGTTCTTCTGCCTCGTTTACCTGGCAGTCGGAGTATCCAGTTTAGACTGCCTTTCATTCATAGCATTTTTAAGTTTGGCCTGATTAGAACTCATTTCTGCCCTTAGAGATTCTATATTATCGTTATTTTTTTTCTCAAGCCTAGATATTGCCTTGATAATTGTTACTCAGAAGTCTATTTCCAACATCTTGCTCATATCCATATCCATTAGTTCTGTGACACAGGCCACAGTCTCTGATTCTTTCCTTTGTTTGGGGCTCCTCCCCTTAGTCATTCTGTTGAGGGGTGGTTGAGGGAATGTACAAACTATTGACCATAACCCAAGCAAGATACACCTGTTTTATAAGGATCTTAGGGTTGTCGGCCTCTTGTTCTTTCAGCATGTCTTCTGGGGGAGGGGCCTGCCGCACTGTTCCTCAGACAATCCTGTTTGGACAGAGTTGCCCTCTCCCCTGTGGGGGAGTATGCGCTCAGTGAAAACCGGTTTTGGGGGGAGGGGAGTTTTGTTCTCTGGTGGCTTTCCCTAGTGGCTTTCCTCATCTCTTCCAAGAGTCAGAGCAGAAGTGACCTTATCCAGTCCTTTGTCTCAGAATAGAGAGACCTCCGTCTGTTCTCCAGAAAGCCCTCCAGGCCACACTGTTTCTGTTTCTGTCTCTGCTGCTGAAAACTGCAGCCTCCTGGGCTGTTTTCCCCACAGCAGCACTCTCAACCATCATTCCCAGGGCTGGGCACATCTCTGCCCTTTGCACTTCTAAAACTGCCAGCACCCCTGTAGTTCCAGGTTTCAGTCTGGGGGGGCTGCCCTGAAGTCCTTTCCCTGTGGCCTCCAGTCTTCGAAATCTGTGCCAGGTCCACAGTGCAGGAGGCTTTTGCCTTCCTGGCACAAGATCACTGAGGCTCCCTCCCCCTTCCGTGTATCCTCCTATATCTGCTTGCGGAATCACAGCTCCCTGCTTCATACCTGGACCAACTGCTGGAGACCTTCTGTTTGTAGAGCTCCAGATGCATCTTCTTATATCTCAGGCAGATTTCTTGGGTGTCCAGGATGGATAGATGTCCAGCTCAGTTCAGGGAACCGGTTGAAATAGAGTCCCCTACTCCTATGCCTCCCCCCGCCCACCATATTACCTACAATTTAAATGATCACATCATTTTCCATAATTTACCTACTGCTTTACCCTATGTCGCGGCCAGCGTGACAAATCAACCAGGAACGTGAGGGTAAGAGGATGCTGAAAAGAAATTAAGAGACAAAGAGATGGAGACAGGAGGAGCACCAAGGAGGATGTCCAATAGTGCCAATTTTATTCAAGGCTGTGAAGCATTTTATAACTAACAGAAACAATCGTAAGAAAAGTGTCTATTTTTAGCTGATTACTAAAGAGTTTGCAACAAGCACAGAAAATCCTTCAAGCTTTCCCATTATCTATTTCCTAGACATCAATAGCAGACCTTCTAGCGCCAGATGTACTGACTTCAAGGCCACTCAAGACATAGTTTATGTAAGGGCAGCTCAGTCTTACAGTGGTGTAGTCCATAGCCCGTGCAAGGACAGCAAGGACCAGCCAAGAATTTCTGACCCCGGCCAAATCGTCTCTATCTGACTAGCGAACGTGCGGGAAGACCCTTTCTCAGTGCTGCTCGACTTTATCGACCTAAGCCTTTTGTTCGGCCATTCAGCCTTTACAGGAGGCCCAAGTCAGGGCCTGGTTTGGTTCTCGTCTCAAGCCTTAACCGTGGCCTCCCACAACCCTAATCTCCATTTATGTGGATTTTACCATTTTAAAGATGTTTGCGGTAATAGTTTGCTAACATCATATAACCTTCCTGTGCAGAAACTCTGAGATCTCAGGGTTTTGTTTGTTTTTTTTTCCCCCCCTCTTTAAAGCTCCAGGGACTCCATGGTTTTCTCACATGTGGTGCCTCACATTTTGTTGTAAGAATGTGTATCTAAAGTGTGGCTTGGTGTGGCAGAGTCCATCTCAGACTGAAGTCAGAGAAAATAATTTTAGTTGTCTTTAAACAAGAAGAGCCAGATTTGGAGTGTACCTGGCTGGCTCAGGCCATACAGCATGAGATTCTATATCTTGGGGTCTTGAGTTCAAGCCCCATGTTGGTCATAGAGCTCACTTAAAAAATAAGTAAATAATTTTAAAAAGCTAGATTCCTTTTTTATTCTAAGTTAAACCATGTGCGTATTATAGTTAGATGTTTGTTCATTGGCATGTTAGTATATTTTAAAGAAGTACATACTTAGTTTTAAAAATCCTTAGTACTAGGGATTTACCAGACATTTACTCTATGGAACAGATGTGTGAGGATATAGGTGGTCTTACCTGCATTTTAAGATGAAGAAACAGGCTTGTGAACCTTCAGATACCTACTGACATCCACTCAGTGCCCAGTGACACTAAAGTTCCTATTGTCTAAGCCAGGAGTTTCAAGTGTTAAATCACATTAAATGGAAAGATCGAAAAGAAAAGAGACTTCTCTATTCAGGGACCTGAGGCCAGGCTGCATGCGTGCTGGCATGGCTGGTAGACGGAAGACTCCAAAACTAATACCATCCTCACCTAATTCCCTTTCTTAGTGGCTGTCTCTCTGTCAGATGTATCAGCTCGTTGTTTAGTGTATAGATGCGCAGAACTCTAGCTAGAGTTGAGATAATTTTTATTTCTATACAGAAGAAGTTGGTATACATAATAGGAAACAGGAGCCAGTGGGCGGGGCAGTGAACATGGGAATTTATACACACTAGGAAAAAGGCTTAATATTCTCAGTACAAATTTTACTGATCTGTAAGATACTCTATAAATCTATAGGATTATGAGCAAAGGAAATGAACAGGTAATATATAAAAAAAATCAAAAGATATTTTAAAAATTATTTGGGTATTGGGACACCTGGGTGGCTCAGTGGGTTAAGCCTCTGTCTTCAGCTCAGGTCATGATCTCAGGCTTCTGGGATCGAGCCCCGCATCGGGCTCTCTGCTTGGCAGGGAGCCTGCTTCCCTCTCTCTCTGCCTGCCTCTCTGTCTACTGGTGATCTCTCCATCAAATAAATAATTAAAAAATAAATAAATAAAAGTCTTAAAAAAATTATTTGTGTGTAGTTGACATGCTATGTTGAAAGACAGTTTTTAAAAAAAATTAAATAAGTGGAGGGGCAGCTGGGTGGCTCAGTTGATTGAGTGTCCGACTCTTGGTTTCAGCTCAGGTCATGATCTCAAGGTTGTGAGATCAAGCCCTGAGTTGGGTTCCACACTCAGCACAGAGTCTGCTTGAGATTCTTTCCCTCTCCCTCTGCCCTGCCCTGCTTGCGTGCATGTTCTCTCTCTCTCTCTCTCTCTCTCTCTCCCTCCCTCAAATATTTTTTAAAAATTAAAAAATGAAATAAGTGGAAATTTTTTTTAAAGTTTTGATCACTTATCAAATTACCCAAAATTTTAGAAATAAGATAATGTCTAATTTTGGCCAGAAGATAGAGAATCAGGGATACTTCTGTTCTCTTACAGGAAGAGTTCATTGGGAAAATTGTCATTATATTAGCAAAATAAAGGTGCCTATTTTTCAACAGTGCAATTGCCACTTCTTGGAACTTATCCTAGGGAAATAACAGGACAGTTGGCTGAGATCTGCATAAAAAAAAAATCCTGCAGCATTATTAATAATGTAGAAAAGTTATTCATTACTTGGAATCATTAAATATATTCTAGATCACCACTTTTACAGAATATTATGCAACCAGGAACAATGATGGTAGCAGTAAGAGTGACGGCTAACATTTGTTGAGTACGTAATGCACATTAGATGCTGTCCTAAGTCCTTTATATATTCTTTTTTTTTTTAAGATTTTATTTATTTATTTGACAGAGATCACAAGTAGATGGAGAGGCAGGCAGAGAGAGAGGGAAGCAGGCTCCCTGCTGAGCAGAGAGCCCGATGCAGGACTCGATCCCAGGACCCTGAGATCATGACCTGAGCTGAAGGCAGCGGCTTAACCCACTGAGCCACCCAGGCGCCCCCCTTTATATATTCTTATTTGATCCTTATGATGTAGACTATCACACAGATAAAGACATTCAAGTATTGAGAAGTTAGGTGACTTGACCACCGTCCCAAAGTCAGTAACGGACAGAGCCTTAGAGGCATGTAGTCTCCAGAACACAGGCTCTTAACCTTGACACTGAATTCTGCATTTGACAGATAGGGCGTGCTCCTGAGATCCCAGAGAATGAACTGTGCACCTGCCCGGGAGGGGGGCCGAAGGCCTGTTGGATGGGCACACGTGGACGAAGTAGTGGGACTGCCCAGTGAGAGAAGGAGACGGCCACTATTAAATACTATTGAAACGAATTCATGCAACATTTCTGACAAATTTCTTAGAAAATTTGGCACTGTTGGTCAAATTCTAAAATGTGTGTGTGATACGATTTGACCATGACAGTTCTAGAGACATAACTGTATGAAGGGCACCGTGTTGCATGTACACTGGTGGTTTTTGTTTTCTTCTTCTCTTTCCTTCTCCTCCCCTTGGGACCCTTACATTTTTGGTGTGCTCGTGAAGGGGAGAGATTACCACTAAGAAGAGTTGCTCCGATCCCTCACATTGTGGAACAACGTCCCCATAGCTCCTCCCCCTCCTCAGCACGGCCCCGCTGCCAGTGGCCACTGAGTGTGAGATCAAGTCTGCGTGTGCTTGTTGTTGTAGGAGGCGGTGACGTTCAAGGACGTGGCGGTGGTCTTCAGTGAGGAGGAGCTGGGGCTGCTGGATTCCACCCAGAGGAAGCTGTACCGTGACGTGATGCTGGAGAACTTCAGGAACCTGGTCTCTGTGGGTGAGGATAGGATCCTTCTGGAACTCATCCCCTCAAGCAGGGTTTCTCCTGACGTTGGAGGCAGACAGTTCCTTGTTTTGAGGCTCCTGTGCGTTTTAGGATGTTTAGTGGCGTCCCTGGCCTCTGCCGACTAGTTCGAGGCTTCAGGACTCCTCAGACACCAGAGTTTTCCAGTCCCTTTGGAGCACAGAGACAAGACATTTCTAGTCTTTATTCCAAGGCAGGTGTTGTCTTGTGTAAATGAACTGTAAATGGACAGTTAAGCTTGTCTTTACCTGGATCCGTATTTCGTCTATCTTTTTTAAATTCATTGATCATGATCTACTGGTGGGTCAGGGAACTAATTTAGTAAAGTGTGTCAGCGGTCTTATTGAATACTTACAGAACAGAGTAGCAGCATCAGAGCTCCTTAGAATGGCGCACGTCCGTGCACATGGCAGCAGTCAGAGCGAGTGGTTTCCAGGGAGGGGTGTCAGACTGGGAAGGATGCAACAGAAACAGACCTTGGTTAGAAACAGTTCACTTTAGGGGTGCTGGGGGGTCCTCAGTTGGGTAAGCATCTGACTTTGATTTCGGCTTAGGTCATGATCTCAGGGTCATGAGATGGAACCCCGCATGGGGCTCTGCACTCAGCCCAGAGTCTGCTTGAGATTCTCTCTCCCTCTGCCCCAACTTCCTCCAAAAAAACAAAAGCGAAAAAGAATAAGAAACAGTTCATTGGATCACTTACTTCGAGAATTTGTATGGTAGTGATATACTTCTAATGATACCAAGTGTATTCCTTATTGTGGGTGGTGATAGGAAAGTGATAAACGCTGCCTTGGGGAGAGACAGAGCCTTATTATGTTATGGGATCGGAGCCAAAATTTTTCAGTACTTTGGCCCTTAATGTTTTCCACTTTTATCTTACCGCTTCATAGGGCATTCATCCTCCAAACCAGATATGATATCCCAGTTGGAGAGAGAGGAGGAGAAGCTTTGCGTGAAGGAGATCCGCACTGAAAGAGGTAGGCACTCGGATAAGAACTGTGCGGCTGGGGTCACTGTAGGTGACGGCCCCATTGTTCTGCCTCTGTTCTCGATGATCTTTGCACGGCAGCCAGAGAGATCCTTTGAAAATATGAATCATAGCACGTCACTCATCTGTTTCAAACCCTCCACAGGCTTCTGCCTTCACTTAGAGTAAAAGTGGGAGTGCTCGTGGCGCCTGGGGGGCCGGTCATTGAAGCATCCACCTCTTGTTTGGGCCCAGGTCGTGATCTCAGGGTCGGGAGAGTGAGCCCTGCGTCAGGCCCTGCGCTCAGTTCAGAGTCTGCTCGAGATTCTCTCTGCCCCTCTGCCCCTCTGCCCCTACCTGTGCGCTCTCTCTCAAAAAAAAAACAACAAAAAACAACAAAAAAACAAAAACAGGTGCCTGGGTGGCTCAGTCAGTTAAGTGCTTTTCCGGTTCAGATCATGATCCCGGAGTCTCAGGATCGAGTCCCGCATCGGCTCCGTGCTCAGTAGGGAATCTTCCTCTCCCTCTGCCCCTCACCCTACTTGTGCTCACTCTCTCTCTCTCTCTCAAAAAATAAAAAAAACACAAAAACCAAAGTGTTCAAGGGGCCTGGAAGGCCCTGTAGTATGTGCTCATCCCCCAGCTTCAACACTCATTCTGTATTTTTCTCCAGTTCTCTCCTCCCACCTCCCACTGCTTTGCCAACCTGACTTGTGCCTCAGACAACACAGATACGCTCTACATCAGGACCTTTTCCCATCTCTTCTCTGGCTGGAATGCTGCCAGCCTGTAACATCCAGTCACTCTGGCTTGCTTTCTTATGTCGCTGAGAAGTCCTTTCTTCCAAGGCCTTGTCTGACCACTGCTTAAAATGCCATCTCCCATCACACTCCATGCCCTTGACTTGCCTTAATTGTGTGTAAGCACTACACCACCAGACTGACTAGCATAGAGGATTTTGAAATTGTGAAATATACATAACATAGAATTTATTTTAGCTAGCGGCATTAAGTACATTCCTGTTGTTGCACAGCTGTCAACGCTGTCCATCTCCAGAACATTTCCGTCATCCCAGACTGCACTCTACACATCAGGCAGTGACTCCCTGTTCTCCCCTTACCCAGTTCCTAGTAACCACTGCTCTCCTTTCCGTGTTTATGCATTTGACCCTTGCAAGTACCTCACGTGAGTGGAGTCGTGCAGTGTTTGCCGTTAGTGTCTGGTTTCTCTCTCTTAGCGTAATGTCTTCAAGGTTGATGGTGTCGTATGTTAGAACTTCCTTCTTTTTTATGGCTGAATAATAGTTCACTGTATGTACACACCACATCTTCTTCATCTGTTGTTGGACATTTGGGTGATTTGTACCATTTGGTTATGGTGAATAATGCTGCTGTGAACAGGGGTGTACAAGTATCTGTTCAGGTCCCTGCTTTCCATTTTTTGTGTGGATACCCAGACTAGAAATGCTGGATTGTATGGTAATGTTTTTTGATTATATTTGAGAGAGAGAGAGAGCATGCACGAGCGGGGTTGGGGGCGGGAGGGGCAGTGGGAGAGGGAGAAGCAGACTTCCCCACTGAGCAGGGAGCCCAACATGGGGTCGGAGCCCATGACCCTGAGATCGTGAGCTGAAGGCAGATGCTTAACCGACTGAGCCACCCAGGCACCCCTCGTTTGGTAATTCTATATTTTAATTTTTGAGGAATCGCCACACTGTTTTTCACAATAGTCACACTATTTTGTGTTCCCACCAACAATGCACAGGGTCCCAGTGTATTGGGACATACGCTTCTCATCCTTACACTTGCTGTTTCGTGTGGGTCCTTATTTTCTAATAATAGCCAGCCCAGTGGGTACCAAGTGATATCTTGTTTTGATGTGCACTTCTCTAATAATTAGTGAAACTGAGCATCTTTCCATGTGCTTGTTAACCATTCGTCCATCTTCTTCGGAGAAATGTGTGGGCAAGTCATTTGTCCATTTTTGAGTCGCGTTTGTTTTCTGTTGAGTTTTAGGAGTTCTCTGTATTCTGAATACTAATCCCTTGCTAACTGGATATGTGATTTGCAAATATTTTCTCATTCTGTGTGTGGCCTTTTTCTCTATTGCCAGTGTCTTTGGATGCATAAGAATTTTTAATTTTCATGAAAGTTTCAAATGTGTCTGTTTCTTTTATTTCCTGTGCCTTTGGGGTCCTATCCAAGAAATCATTGTCAAGTCCAATATCGTGAAACTTTTGTCCTATGTTTTCTCCTAGGAGTTTTATAGTTTTAGCTCCTATGTTTAGATCTTTGATGCATTTTGAAATAATTTTTGAAAATGGAATAAGGAATGGTCTGACTTCATTGTTTGGCATGTGGATGTCCAATTTTTCTAGCACCATTTATTGAAAAGACTGTCCTTTTCCCATTGAATGGTCTTGGCACGCTTGTCAAAAACCATTTGACTGTGTATGTGATGGTTTAGTTCTGAGCTCTCTAGACTGTTCCCTTGGTCTGTATGTGTTTACACCAGTATGCCGCTGTTTTGACTACTGCAGTGTTATAATAAGTTTTGAAATCAGGAAGTGACTGCCTCCAACATTTTCTTTTCTTTTTTTTTTATTAACATATAATGTATTATTTGCCCCAGGGCTACAGGTCTGTGAATCGTCAGGCTTACACATTTCACAGCACATACCCTCCCCGATGTCCATCCCCCATCCACGCTATCGCTACCCCTTCACAGCCCCAGCAACCCTCAGTTTGTTTTGTGAGATTAAGAGTCTCTTACGGTTTGTCTCCTTCCCCGGTCCATCTTATTTCGTTTGATCTCTCTGATATGAGGAATTTGAGAGGCAGGGTGGGGGGCTATGGGAGGTAGGAAACGAAACAACTTTTTTCTTTTTTAAAGGTTGTTTTGGTGACTCAGGGAATTTCAGGATGGGTTTTTCTGTTTCTGTATTATCGGAATTTTGATAGAGATTGCATTGAATTTGTAGATCCTTTTGAGTAGCATTGATATCTTTTTTTTTTTAACCCAATAGAAATGAAATCATTTTTATTTTTTTATTGTGTTAGTACCATACAGTACATCATTAGTTTTTGATGTAGTGTTTCATGATTCATTGTTTAAATATAACAGCCAGTGCTCCATTCAGTACGATATCCTAACAATATTAAACCTTCCAATCCATGAACTTGAACTGTCGTTCCATTTTTCTATATTTTTAATTTATCAGTGTTGTAGTTTTCAGTGTACATGTCTTTCACCTCCTTGGTTAAGTTAATTCTCAAGCATTTTGTTCTCTTTGGAATTATTGTATATGGAATTGTTTTCTTAATTTCCTTTTAGATTTTTCATTGTTTGTATGTAGAAATGCAGCTGATTTTGTGCATGACTTTGTTCCTTGCTACTTTGCTGAATTCATTTATTAAACGGTTTTTATGTGGAACCTTTAGGACTTTTCAAATATAAGATCATATTATCTATGAACAATTTTACTTCTTCCTTTCCAGTTTGGATGCCTTTTATTGGATGCCCAATTTCTTAGGCTAAAACTTCCAGTACTGTGTTGAATACTAGGGATGGAAGTAGGCATCCTTGCCTTAATCCTGATATTGGAGGAAAAGCTTTCAGTCTTTCACCATTGAGTCTGATGTATACTGTGTATTTTTCATTTAAAGCTTTCATTACATTGAGGCAGCATCCTTCTATTACTAGTTTGTTGAAAGTTTTTATCATGAAAGCATTTTGAGTTTTGTCATTTGCTTTTTCTGCATTAACTGAGATGATTATTGATTTTTTTTTCCTTTATTCTGTTAATGTGGCATATCACATTGATTTTTTGGTGTGTTGAACCATCCTTGCATTTCAGGAATAAATCCCACTTGGCTGTGTTGTAGTGTCCTTTTAATATACTAATGAATTTGGTTTGCTAGTATTTTTAGATCAGTGGTCATAAGGGATATTCGTAGTTTCCTTTCTACTGTGTCTCTGTCTGGCTTTAGTGTCAGGCAATACTGGCCTCACAGAATAAGTAGGAAGTGCTCCCTCCTCTACCATTTTGTTGGAAAAGTTGAACAAGGACTGAACATTCTTTTTTGTTGATTTTTTTTTTTTAAGATTTTTATTTATTTATTTGAGAGAGCATAAGAGCGAGAGAGATCATAGAGGGAACAGGAGAAGCAGACTCACCACTGAGCAGGGAACCTCGCGTGGGGCCCAGCCCCAGGACCCTGACATCACAGCCCCAGCCAAAGGCAGATGCTTCACCAACTGAGCCACCCAGGCACCCCAAGAATTGATATTCTTCTTTAAATAATTGATAGAATTCACCAGTGAAACCATCTGGTCCCTGCTTTTCTTTGTTGGGAAGTTTTTGATCACTAATGCAATCTTCTGAACAGTTACAGGTCTATTTAGGTTTTTTGTTTCTTTGTGATTCAACCTTAGGTTTGTGTTTCTAGGAATTTCTCCCTTCTATCTAGGTTATCCAATTTGTTGGCATTGAAATATTCATAGTGCTATCTTATAATCTTTCGTTTCTTTATGGTCAGTAGTAACGTCCCCACTTTCATTTCTTTTTTTTTTTTTTTTTAAGATTTTATTTATTTATTTACTTATTTGTTAGAGAGAGAGTGACCACAAGCAGGCAGAGTGGCAGGCAGAGGCAGAGAGAGAAACAGGCTCCCCCCGAGCAAGGAGCCCGATGTAGGACTCAATCCCAGGACCCTGGGATCATGACCTGAGCCAAACGCAGCTGGCTTAACCGACTGAGCCACCCAGGCATCCCGCCCACTTTCTTTATAATGTTAGTAATCTGAGTCTTCTCTCTTAGCCACTGTAGCTAAATTTTTGTCTATTTTGTTGCTCTTTTGAAGAGGCAGCAGTTGCTTCTCATTGATTTTTCTCTATTGTTTTTCTGATGTGTATTTGACTTATCTCTGCTCTTTGTTATTTCCTCCTGCTAACTATGGGTTTGGTTTGTTCTTTCTTTCTTCTTGTTAAAAGAGAGAGAGTGCACATGAG